CTGCATGCAGGTGTTTTTGGATTTTCAGTCATGTGCAGCTCAAGCATGCAGTGTGTGTGTTTTGAATCTGAGAGGAGAGAAGATACAGTTAACAGGGCAGGACGGGGTCCAGCACATACAACACAGGAGGCGTTAACTGATGCCTCCTCTGCTGCATTTCAAACCCAGTCAAGCCAAAAATTCTTCTGTGTAAACCCTGTGTCTATCTCCAACACATTTTGCCTTTTTTCAGTTGCTGTGTGGACGGGAAATCCCTCGCTGGGTCAACAGACTGGCCTACTTCAGCTCTTGCATCCCCTTCCTGCAGAGCTGCCTACCTAAGGAGTGGCTAACCCCAGCCGCCCTGCAGAGCCACATCAGCCTCGGTCTTCACAAAGAGGAGCAGAATGAGTCAAGTGACGAGGACCCTTCATCCCCACCCGGGGCAGCTGCCGCCGGCTCAGGCTCCTCCCGCAGCTGTCGCCACACGAGGGTGTGAACTGTCTACACGTACACTGACCTCCGGACCTCCCTGCTTTTGCTCCTAGTGTCTCAAGTGGCATTAGCAGGCTTGAACAACCACCTGACCTCATACTGTTTGTCTTCTGAGTAAAGAGGAAGGAAAGGAAGAGTCTTCTGAACATGGAGAGAGCTGCTGCCACAGACGTCAGACTAAAAGAGACCCTGCCTGTCCTGTCTACAGATGACAGACAAACTCTGACCTGAGGCCTGAGCACTAAAGCATGGCTCAGACTTAAACAACAACAACAACCACTTGTAGATCTGAAGTTTGTAGTACCTTATAATTATTCTTTTCCATGAACTTAAAACCTTTGTCAGCCTTGTTCCCTGCCCTGCCTTCAGAGCTGCTTTTGTAGAATAAACCTGAGACTACTGATAGTGACATTACCAGGAAACTGCTACTCTGCTCAGTTTCAACAAGTTCTTCAATAACCTCTATGTGGCCTTCAGTTGATATTGTTGACTCTGCTTTGTTTGTGTTGAGCTTTAGTAGTTTACTTTGGCCATTTTTTTGAAGGCTAGGGGATTAAAGAGGGTTTGACTCTTCCTAGAATTCATTTGGAACTCATAAAATTGTTGCATGTTGAAAGAATTGAAACATCATCCAACTAAAGCGAGATGCCACACTTCTGGCCGTTGAGTATTTCTTCTCATGTTCCTTTTGTAAAACAAATGATCCAACCTGGAACGTGTTTTAAACAGTGAACTGGCAGTCAGCTGCCAGTGTAACCAGTTCATCAATGGTTGTAAACAATCAAAGGCAAATGCTGTTCACACAGCCCCAGGCAGCCCAGTCACTATCTGTATACATCTCAGAGACACAAAGACAAAGAACGTCAAGCTGCTACTCTGACAACCTTTGACTTTGTAACCCAGTACAGTTTTGTCTATGCTTTTATATCCAAATAGTATTTACATTATAACAGTGTGATAACTCCAGGAGATGTACATTTACACCTGTGATTGTTCCTGGGTGATACTGGTGTCATCACCTTTTTAACTATTGCTGCCATGGTAAAAAAAATCCTGATAATTTAGTATTCTGTTTTAAATTGCAGGAATCCTTTAGGCAGTAGTTTGACATTTTGGAAAATAAATACTCCTATTTATTTTGTTCCTGAGATATACATAAGAAAATCAATACAATTGTCACATCTTTATGGTTAACGTGAAGCTACAATCACCAGTCAGTTAGCTTATGTTAGCATAGAGATTGGAAACATGGGGAAACTGATAGACCGGCTATGTCCACAGATAACAAACTCTGCCTACCAGCACCATTAAGGCTCACAAACGTTATATTTAGTTTGTTTAATCATGCAAAACTCTGTTTTATGGGGACTTATGTGCCTTACTACAGTATTGTTTGAACTGGACCAGCTGCTGGATAACCAGTGGAGGTTCTAGGATATTACTGGTGACATCGAAAAAATAGTCAGGCACATAACATAACCCCGTCAAACAGCAAATTTTTGTTTTTACATTTCAGCTTTCGTACAGCTTAAATAAACAAGGTGTAACAAGTTAATTAGGAAGCCTATGCTGATAGGTAGATTTCATTATCTTTGGACAGAGCCAGGCTAGCTGTTATCCACAGTTTCCAGTCTTTATAGTAAGCTAAGCTAAATAGGTGTCGGCTCCAGCCAAATATGTACTGTACATGAGTGAAGGCGATATCATTCTTCTCCTCTGACTCGTGGGGAGGAAACGACTGATCCAAAATGTCAAATGATTCCTTTAACACCATATTTTTATGTATGATTTATTATGTCAGAGGTTGAGTTGTTGCAGTGAGGAAAAACATGATGTCATAAAGTTATTTCTAATCATTGTAGATTCGTAGATGTTGGTGTAGAATCTCATTAATGAGTACTTCCTCTCTTGATACTGATGATGGTGGTGATTATAACAGTGATGGTGGCAAACATCAGCACCTTGTAGTTTTACTCATTTCAGTTCATGTTGCTTGCTTTTTTAATGTAAAAGTTTAGTGAATGAGGCCACATGTGATTTTAACCTTTCCCCCCTGCCTCCTGCTGCAGTGTGTTCACCCTTTCTCAGGAAAGAAGTCACATGACTTGTAATAGCGGCAGTCTAATTTCTTC